AAACGAGTGAAGCTGCTGAAGTGTTTTGGGGGACGGGGGGTCAACTGTCGACACACCTACTCCAGAGGGCGGAAAAAGCAACACGCTGATATGATGATCACATCTGCTGTTGTGGTGGGCAGGCGGGAAGAGGGGGAAGTGCGGAAGAGAGTAGGCGGAAAGGAGCGAGCCGGTCACGACCCGCGGGTCAAAGGGCACCAAAACCCCCACCAAAGTACACCATGCCAATACAATAGAAAAATAGGACCTGCCGTACAACGTGCAGTACCCACTCCCCCCCATCCCCTTACGAGGCCCTTCGAATCCCTCTCCAAGTCGCTCCAACCCCCCAATTCCCCTCGCATTTTTTCCAGGATCCCTGTCCCTCCCTTCTTCTCCTCCCCAGACAACCCCCAAAACAAAGTTCAAGCAAAGTGAACTCCCTCTTTCCCCCCCCCAACAAACACCTTCCCTTTTTGTCCGGGCCCTACCCCGCACACCTGCGATTCATCAAAAGTCGGTTGCCAGTCAACGGTATCGGGTCCAATGTCCGCCAAAAGGGCCTCCCCAGCCGCCCGAGTCAACCGACATTCCGTATAACGCATAGCGGCCGCCGGGTCGTTGTCCAAACTGCCAAAGTTGCCGTGACCGTCCACGAGCGTTTGCCGCATCGCAAACGGTTGGGCCATCCGTACAAGCGAGTCGTACACTGCCGTATCGCCATGCGGATGAAACTTGCCAAGCACCTCGCCCACCACGCGCGCGCACTTCTTGAAAGGTTTGTTGTGCTGTCGGTTGAAGGTTGGTTGGTTGATTTGGTCAGCTAACGATTTTCAACGGTTCACACTACATACAGGTTACAACACGGAAAATGCGACATGGTTGCATCGATCGGTTGCCTGACAAGGGTGGCAACGACGGGGGTATTCCGAGGTCTTTTCAACGCGTCAAAATGCCTTATGGACTTGGATAAGCATGTGCGGACATTGACAACTCAACTGTCAACTGTCAACTGTCGATTGTAAAGTAAGCATTTCGGGTTTTGTGCTCAGCTTGGGAGTTCGGACGAGAACACAACTCGACACAGAGCTTCCGGTGGAGGAGCTCCTTTTATTCAGGAGGGGGTGAAAGCTAAGGCCTCCAGTCCAAAGGGGGGGGGGAAAGACGAACCACGAGCGAATGAAGGTGAGACACACACACATACACACACATACATACATACATACACATTCCGTGTACGACCGTCGGTATATCCCTCATCGCGGCTCAGATCATTAAAACAGAAACACATGCCCTCCGGCCACAGCACTCATCTCGTCATCTGCCCACCCACCACAAGGCCAAGCTCGTGCATGGCGTACAGAATACGGCGGTGTACGGGCTTGAGGCCGTCTCGTACATCTGGGATGGCCCTGCTTACGATGACTGACATGGCGTACTGTACGGAAAAAGAAGAAAAGGGCGGGAAAGGGCGGGATGAATGATGGATGGGGAATGGACAGTTTAGGGGAATGCGTCAATAAACTGATGAAGCAAACAGGTAATGAACTCCACCGAAGAGGAAGAGGGGGGTCGGCAAGGGTGGGGTAATATACGGCTCAAGATACCCGATTAGACGAGTGCACGAACCACACCTGCTGACACCTCAACACGAAATCTTCTCACCGAAGCCTTCTCACCGAAATCTGCTCACCGAAAGGTAGGAGTTGTACGCTTCATCGTACAGCTCCGTGTCCTCAACGCGGCCAGTGACGGGCTCCGCCACCGCCACGGCGCCGCCGCCGCCACCACCGCCGCGGGCAGTGGCGGCAGCAACGGCCACGTAGCAGCTCCTCTTGTCGCTGTTGTCATGCCGCTCTCCGCGGCGCCGAGCGGCGGCGACAGAGCCGATGAGTGGGGATGGTACCCAAAGACCGCTGACCCCAGCTCCCGCGCGCAACACAGGACTCAGAACGCTAGTGCCGGGAATGCCACCACGGCCGGAGGCGCTATTGCCAACAGCACTGGCGAGAGTGGTGCGGAGCTGTGGACCCAAAAGCAAGCGGTTGAGGCTGTGATGGCGAAAGCGGCGCCAGATAGGGGGACGGCTGGCGACACCGCAGATTGGCAGATTGCTGTTGGCCATCGCAGACTGTCGCGCGAACACGCAGCAGAGGGAGAAAAAATGTTGGGATGAGAGGGGACTAAGACAATTTTATTCATGAGGTCGTGACTGATTTCTGGTCATTTGAGACAGACGGCGTGTGCTTGAGTATTTCGTGGATGCAACTTATGGAGTTTCTCCAAGGGGAAGTGATTTCATCCCCCGTATTTGTGGCGGCAACCCCTATCCTTTAAAACAGAATACACCGGAGGTGCGTGTGGTAACGCGTGAACTCAAAGGGGAATGCCATTTGTTCGCCCAATTGGTGTCGACAGCCGACTTGCCTCCCGACGCAAAGTGCCATCCGCCATCCGGAGGTCGTGCTGAAGAGCGTGCATCATAATAGAATGCTAGGTATGGAAGCGTCCCCGCTGCTTATTTAGCCATGTCTCCTACGTAGCTGCAAGCGCGCGATAACCCGATTGTCCCGGAAAAAATACTTTCAGCCTTCAGGCACCCCCTTCTGCCACGTGGTCAGACGAAGTCCCTGTAGAACGCTTTCATTTACATAGCAGAGCTAGCCCAGACTCTATTTCTAGCGAGTGCCGTACTTCTTGTACAGCGAAGTACCAAAAGCAGCTCTAGAGTTGTAAAGTTATGCGCAGCTACATTTAGCTGTAGATTTCGCGCCTGTCAGGCTACGCCCGTGCTTATCACTACACTAGAGGAGGGGGTCGCGTGAGGTCTCGGAAACAGTGTTGCTGGTTGTGGCCAATCTGATATCATGAGACCTCAGCTTCTTCGGTTCCTGCAGCGGGCTCCTGCAGGTGCGTCCTACTGGCGTTGTAGTGCTAGCGGTTGTCGGTGTCACTGTGTCATGCCTTAGGGGTCTTGTGTCTCCATCTGCCTCGTCTGCAAGCAGCCGAAGCGCTCTTTCTACAGCGGCTTCTTAATTTGAGATGTCTGACGGCGTTTTATAGTGGAGTCAAATAATGAATGGCGTGAACTGCAACCTGTGATGGCTCTCACCGAAAGCCCTGTTCTTACATAATGGGCGGTTGCCAAAGCTGTCTGAAATCGACAATGCGTTGTAGGCTTTAGCAAGGAGGGTCTCCAAGCTCTTCGCGCCGGCCTGACGTCTGGCGAGACTTCCGGTCTGCTGCAATCGTCGGCAAGCAAGTAAGAGCGGAGCCCGTAAGCACTCCTCGAAACAGACATCCTTGTTATCTAAGCTGTCCTAAATGCGTGTTGCGGTTTTCATCTTGCTAAGGATGGTGGCCCAACTTGTACATTTCCTTGTCCCGCAGCCGCAAGGATGATGTACCGCTGCCAAAGGGCCTGGGCTTTCCGAGGGTGAGCATTTATGTTGTGCTCGGTAATGCTGGCGGCTGGAGGAACTACGTTGAACGGTTGGCTTTGTGCCGTTGCCCTCGATGTAATGTTCTCGCAGATGGCCCTGCCGCTAAGCCTCCAGGGCCACTTTATGAGCACGCTGGCGACCGCTAACGGCGATGACAAGAAGGAGCTCACCACCGCGGGGCTGGCGCGTGAGGTGCCAAAGGTGCCGACTGCTCTTACGGCCCTGCCTCCACGGCCAACTCGGTGAGCATCCCTTACGTCCGGGTCCCTCCCCTTCAGGGACATTGGTTCCCTCCGTCCACCTGCTGTTCCCTTCCAGCTACACCTCTTCTGGGGCGTCTCCATGGAGCGTTTATTTGCTGGTTACTGGCGTGCAAGTACCCCTCCATTTCCGTACGGTTTTTTGTGCAATTTCGCCATCACTACCCACGCAGCCATAGGTTTATCTTTCCTGTGTCCTGAGCTGTATATGTCCCTTGTCTTCTTTCTGGGCACGCTAAAATTTTCTTTTTCCTTGTGTTTCCCCAAGCTTTTTCCCGTGTCCCCCGATGCCATCCGTGCGCCCTTTTCTTCCCCTTATTGTTCGTGTTTCTCCATCACCGCGCTCTCATGCTGTTACATTGTTAAAAATTTCAACACCTGCCATTAATTCATGTCCCCTCCCTGGGACGCGACCATTCTGAAGTCATCCTCTCCTGCAATAAAGCCGCGGGTATTTTTTTCCTTAGCTTTCCTCACTGTTTTTTCCTATTGTAGGGGTCAGCTGGCACCCGCCCCAGGCCAGCGCGCCATGGGCAGCGCCGCTCATGGCCACGAGATGAGCGCGAAGGAGTTTTACATGAACCACGTGGCTAACCGTCACCCCTTCCACGTGATGCCGCCAAGCCCCTGGCCCGTGTTGGCGGGCGCGGGCACCTTTGTGGCTTGCCTAGGTACGGGGCCACGTGTTTGGTAGCGACGGTAGTTGTCATGTCCGGGGGTGCAATGCGGATGCGAGCTGAGGTAGTATGGGATTGATGGCAAGGGCTTTGGCGCGATAAGCTGGGAAAAAGGAAGCGCAGAACGTGGGGGGGGGAGGGAAGCGTGACGGAGGGGAAAGCCTTGTGACACGGGTATCGCGTGTTTTAGAGACATGAGCTGTTGATAGGGCCGTGCCAGACCGGATCCCCATATGGGTCATATGGGTCTTGAGCTCTTCGTGTCATCTGGGTCAATAACAGGACGACATTGCTTCACGGAGTGTATTAGTGGCAATAGCAGTCTATTTATGTGGCTGTGGTAGCGTACTTGGGCTTCGTCCTCCGTGGCGCGTGCCCCCGTCTCGGGGGCGTACATGAGTTTCCTCGAGCTGAGCAAGTGAGGGGGCATGGAGGGCGCGCCTGCGGTCGCTGCTGTCCTTTGTTGCAGCTTGCATGAAACTGGACAACTTGCGACGGGTGGAACAAAGAGCGTGAATGGGTTTGGCACAGATGTCTCTTGCCTTCTCTATCCCTTTGTGTCGGAGCTATTCTTCGGTGGTTGCATTTGGGTTATGATATGTGTGACGTGTTGATGCGTTCGTGTTGGTGTCCGGCGCAAATATTCAAACTTGATTTTACAAAGTATCGACCTTTTCCTTTCGGTACGCGACCTTGCTTTCGCGACTCTGCTCGGACCTTTTCCTCCTTCGCATCTCATATGAATCCGCCGCATGACATAATCCTTAACTCGTCTATAGTTTGTTTATCTCCCGCCATTCTTTATTTGCGTTCACTTTACAAACAATTTTTTTTGTAAGGTTTCCATAAGGTCCCCTTAATATTCTCTGCAAATACGCGCCCTTTGCCCCTGCGAACCCACAGGCATGGCGGCCTGGTTCCACCAGATCCCCGGCGGCTCCGCCCTCCTTGCCTTCGGCATGGCCAACCTCACGTGGACGGCTATCACGTGGTGGCGTGACTGCATTATCGAGGGCGACATGGGCATGCACACGGAGATTGTCCGCAAGAACCTCGTCACCGGCATGTGGATCTTTATCGTGTCCGAGGCCCTGCTCTTCGTGGGCCTCCTGTGGGCCTGCCTGGACCTCGGAATGTCACCCAGCGTGGCTCTGCAGATGCAGTGGCCCCCGGTGGGCATTGAGCCGATTGGCTGGGACAAGCGCGCCCTGGTGATGTCGGCGGTGCTGGCTGCGTCTTACTACAGCGCCAACGTGGCCATGGTCGCGAAGGATCCCAAGGTGCGGTCTAGGTTGGTAGCTTTAGAGAAGGGGTTGGGTTGGGATGAGTTGGGTTGCGGTGCACGCTCTCTGATATGGATCGGATGCGGTGCGAGATCATATGCGGGGGGAGGGGTAGTGGAGTAAGGGAAAAAGGGATGGTGCAGTGTGGTTGGGGAGGGGGTTGGTAGTTAAAGTAGTGGCGGGATAATACACTTGTTTTCAAGGATCGCTCTTTTTTTAAAGTCACATGGTTTTGTTTCACACTGAATGGTAGCGTCCCCTGCTTCCTGGTTTGTGAATGTTTGCAGATGGTCATGGGAGCTTTGGCCACGACCATTGGTCTCGGAGCCATGTTCTTGTTCGACCAGTACATTGAGTACAACGAGACGCCCTTTACTATTTCCGACTCGCCGTACGGTACGACGTTCTTTGTAACGACTGGCTTCCACGGCATGCACGTGCTGCTAGGCTCAATCTATCTGGCCTGCGTCTTGGGGATGTATGCGCGCACGCACAAGGCGGGAGTGGCGCTCAAGAGCTCTATCCTCTATTGGTGAGAGCGGGCAGGGGGGGTTAGAGGCCCACCATGGGGTGGGAAGGTAGTGCAATGGGGGGGGGAGCAGGGGGGAGGGAAGGGTAAATGGATGGAGCAGGTGGTAAGGGACCAGGTGGTAAAGTACGGTGCATCAGCGAAGGGAGGCGGTTTAGAGAGGGAGGGGGGTGAAGGTCGCGCGCGGCGTTGCATAGGGTGGGTGCGAGATGAGGGTTGCGTGGTGTGTTGCCGGGGGGCTTCCGGGCACCACCAAACCAAAACTGAGCTCTTGTCAAAACGGCACAAGTTTGTACCTCCTTTCCCCTCGACAGGTTTCCCACGTAAGCACGTCCACACACTCTGCTCTCTCACGCTGTGTATACTTCGGATGCGGTATCCTTTGCTTTTAAGCAGGAGGTTTCTTTAGTCCACACCCCCTACTCCCACACCCTTTCCCTTATCTGGGTCGCATCTCTATCAAAGTTTTCCGCATTGCCACCATTCCCAACACTACAGGCATTTCGTCGACATTGTCTGGATTGCCGTGTACGGCATCATCTACGTCGGTCAGTACTAGGCGACCTCCCGGTCATTTCGCGCCCCCAGACCCAGCTCTCAGTCGGCCGCCAGCCGCCAGTCCACAGCTTTTTGCTTTTAGCATTGCAGCTCGGACTCCGCCGCAGCACGCGAGCTTTCCTGTTCCCCCCTTGGTCTGCACCTGGTCTGTCTCGGTGGGGAATAATGAGATGTATGCTTTGGAGCTTCGGTGCCTACACATCAGAGCGCTTTTAACTCCGTTTGCGACCTGTATGTGGTGGAGCATGGCGATGAGGACGCTAGCCTCTACTAGGAGTTCTGGCGAGAGAGGCTCAACAAGAGCATACGGATAAATTTTGCGTGCACTGCTGGTTCTGGGTGCCTGGGTGCGTGGTGGAGGCGAGCTTGACAACTTGAGACGACGAGCAAGATTACGACGACGTTTCAAAGTATCGAATCCCTGGCTTATCATTTACATGGCTTGTCTCTTTTCCCTCTTGTGGTGGAGGTTTAGCTCTGTGTTGCGTGTCTTACTGACGTGTGTGATGTGATGTGTCTGTAGGTATGTGTGCTTTAGAGGTGCGATTACGACGCCGACTGGGGAATTATCCTGTTGTCGTTGTCGTCGCCGCTGCCCGCTGTTGTCGCGGTCTGGCTGGTCTCTCTTGCGTACTACGGTAGAGTCTGTGGGTTTGTGTGGGAATTAAACGATGTGCGTGTTTAGAGCGCAAGCCACGCATGGGTACATGGGTGGGTAATAAATGAGGCGTCCCACCTCTGCTCCGCCTCTATATTTGGGCTTTATAAAGGATATGTGGGAATGGTGGAAGGTGGGGGATTCTGTAGAGGGAAGCGGTGGTGATGGTGCGAGTGGACTCAGCTGCTGGGGTACATGTGTATACATGGGCTGTGTCTTGCTGTGATGATGATGCTTAGCGAACAGTTTTGTAAGTGGTCATCGCTCATCAATCAGGGAAAGTGAAGTGACAAAGATATAAGAGGTAGTCACAGCTGCATAATATAAATTGCATACAGTCATATAAAGACCGCCAAGACGCAAACAAATGTTTCAGCCGCTCGAACTTCCTGTAGCAACAACCACAGCACCAGCTCAAGTTTGCCTGGCTATGCCTAACCAAGGCGCCGAGCAGAACAAAACTCAATTTCTGTTCCAAATGCGTGATACCATCCCAAAGACAAAGAACTCCAGAAATGCACCTTTCGCCTCATTTATTTCAAATAAAATGTAGTGCCTCAACCCTGCCTCAATAGCCGTTTTAAGAAACTGGACAGGTCCATTGTAACAATTGCAACTGGACGGTATTAAGCATAATACATAATGCACCGTTCTCCGTCTTCGACATGAATTCGTACCATCGTAAAATTTGTCGTACGACGTCACACACATATTTTCAGCTTTAAGCTCAAGATCCACCATGACTATATTTCCGTGCCGCACCCCGAACGGCACACAGCCGTGTACATGTTTTTCTTCTCCTATTGAACCGCTTTACGAACTTCCAACATTTTTAAGACTCTAAAAAACCAAAACCTTAAAAACCTTACATCGCTGAAGGATATACGCACAGCAGCAAGTGTCCCGAATGCCTCGGGTTTAGGGCAGCCGCCTGAAAAGGAGAGGACTTTCAAGCCTGTCAAAACAGTACAAGCTCTCCCTAGGTCCAAAGAAGGGTCGAAGAAGGAGGAGGGGAAGAAGGGGGAGAGGTCCATCATCGCCCATGCGCCCAACGAAGGCGGCGCGTTGCAGGCGGGTGTGCAGCCCCCCCTCCCACACACACAAACACATACACAAACACAAACACATACACACACCAGGTACACGCACCCCATCTTAGCTTCCTGCCTCCCTCCCCTCCTCCCCCGGCTGGTACCTATCCCAACTTCCCCCTTTTTCGCTGGAATCCTAAACCGTTGCTGCTGCCGCCCAAACGACCTAACGGACACAGAGCACAAGAGGTAAAAGTGAGCAGCAGCCCGAAGGGCATTGCTCCGACGTGTTTGATGTCTTGTGCGTTTCCCCAGGCTGCGAACTCTCCGACTTAAATGCGAAATGGCAACGTTAGCATATGTTACGAACCTGGAAACGGCGAATATGTAAATGCTTCCCTAAGCAACACCACTGCACACGCTATAATAATTGGCACTGTGCGATGACAAAGCTAGCTCATCAGTACGGACGACCGTACGACACAGCATATATATCACGGCCTTGCCTTGACCGTGAATTCACACGGAAAAAATGTTACAACCCGACGTGTCCATCTACGCGTACGACAACCGCCAGGTACGGAATGTGCTTCCATCCGCAGGAAGACAGTTTCTCCCTAAAATATTTAGAAGAAACCTGCTCAAGCCCATACATACATACATATAGACACACATAGACACACACACATTCACACATACACACACATACACACAGACATACACACACGGCCAACTACCGTTACACCCGCAAAACATGACGCTATATGCAGCAGCTTTTGTTTCCTGGGTCTTCGACCGAGCGTTGTACGGCACAGCTTACACAAATCGTAATAGAAGGGAGCTACAAATATTTACGGAGAAAAAACGGCCTTTTGAGCAGCAGAACTCGACGCCTTCTTGTGATAGCGGCCTTTTCCTCCCTCCCTTCAAAAATCCCGAAGACTTCCAAAGACTCTTCTCCCCCCCAGGCAAGGGCCCAGAACCCACCCTGGTCCTCATCCTCAATCCTCCGACCATCAATCAGCCAGCGGCATCGTTAATTTGGGTTCTTTACGTGCCTAACTCCGACTGGCACTGCACTGGGTGCGGCACGCGCAACTGGTTACGGCAACGGCTGATTTCGTTGACGATGGCTGCTCACGTAACCGCCTAACAGAAACGAAAAGCAAGCGCAGACACGCGGACCGAATGCTCCAACGTTCCCTTTGACCACGACGAGCTTTGCCGTACATACCGTGTCCGTACTTCCTGTTGAGTGGTAATAAGAACACAGTCCGTGACCAATCAACCCAGCCGATCATGTCCGACTCTCCCCCTCGACATGTGGCGCCGCCGCCGCCGCCGCCGCCGCTACGGCGGCGCCCGCCGTCACCGTCGGCGTGTGCACCGCCGCTGACATCGGAACCGCCACGCTGGAGTCTACGCCCCGCGGCACATCCAACCCTGGACCATCGCCGTCACCGTCGGAGTTTGTCGCTCCGTTTTCCTTTGGCGAAGGTGACGTCGGCATCTGCTGCCGTACAGCTGCTGCGCCCTCCGCCGCCGTCGCCGCCGCCGCCGCCGCCGCAGCGGCGGCGCCCTGCGATCCGGCCACTGCTGACGACGCCCCCTCCGGCCCCGCCGCCAGCGACATTGGCCCATGATACCGGTAGTCTGATCCGCTGCCGTACTCTAATGCGTCCAAAAGCCGTTGGAAAGCGTAGTACGGCACTAACTGACGCAACGGCCGTAGGACTAGGTAGGCAATAGAGTAGGCGACCAGAGCCGCGTAGTGGGCGAACCAGCCCACCAAGGTGCGAGGACCCACCTGTAGATGATGGATTTTGAAGTTAAAATAAATAAATAAATACAACAAAAAAGTACGCACGAGCTCACTACCGGTTCCCCGATCGAATCCAATTCCTTTAGATTTCAATTTTCGAGATTTGGTCCAGAGAGAGAATCGAAGGCGGCTGTAGGTGCGAGTCTACAAGCACTACTGTCCTTTTGGCCTTCATCAGGCGGTTAAAAGACGGTTAGGCGTCAACGACCTCTCATGACAAAACATGCTTAGCAGTACCTACGGCACCTACCGTACACAGGAAGACTTAAAAGGAACTAGCGAAAAGAGGACGAGGATTAAATGGCAACATACCTGCAGCAGCACCCGACTGACGGTTACTGGATTAGCAAGCATCATGCCCATCATGCTCAGACTTAGGGGCACCAACTGAATAGTATCCTGCGTGTACGGAAGTACGGAAATACAGTTGTGAATGAGTGAGCGAGTGGGTGAGTGAGTGAGTGAGTGAGTGAGAGGATTTTCCTACCTCGCCTCCCATAATACCCCCCCACCCCACCCCTATCTACCACTACCTCCCTCTCACCTGCAGAAAAGGCCGCAGAACGCGGTCTCCTAAGATTCCCATGACTCCAAAGTTGCAGCCAAGGATTTCGTTCACGTGAGTGTACGGCAGTCGTAACCAAGTCGGCCCCCGGCGGAAATCCCGCTCGAAGAGCGTCCGCGGCTGTTGTTGCCGTTGAGACGTGGTGGTGGTGGTTGCTGCCGCCGCCAGCTTTGTGGCCGCGGCAGTTGTGGCGGCCGCGGCGGCGGCGGCCGCCGCCCCCATGTCCTGATCAGGCTCCTCGTGGAAATAATCCGCAGGGTCGGCGGCGCCGGCGGCGAAGCGCGCCGCCGCCATCGCAACCGCCTCCTGGAAAGCCGCCGCCGGCCCGGCGCCGGCACCCATAACCAACACCGCCGACGCCGTGTCGGAAAATGACTCTGTTGAATCTGTTGCCAGTGCTGGCGGCAACGTGACGTCTGTCGTGCAGTACGGCGGCGTGTACGGATAACTAGATGGGTACGACACTTGCCCGACGCAAAAGCTCATTGACCGTTGGAAGAGCCAGGATGCCGAGAGAGAGGGCTGGTACGGCTGCAGCCAGGCCAGGTCCTTTTGGTGCAGACGATCCTCCGCAAGGGCCTGATGTCGCACCGTACGAATAAAAATCCCACAGTTTGTACGGGGTACGACAACGTACGTCAATGTACAGCAGGAGCGTTTATTTTGACGTGGCTAAGCACACGAGCAAAAGTACATCCAGGACGTGTACTTCCTTTTCCTGGGATAAAAACTGCAGTTACAACCCCCTTGAGAAAAAAAAGAGGCAAAATAAGAAGGCTCTGAAAACTAGCGGCAGCCGCCACCACATAAAGAGCAGTATTGTGAGCCCTGATCGGGATAACGATTTTAGCAACCGCCTCAAACTGCCAACCACCACCGTCAACTACCAACTACCACTGATATAAAAACCGCTACCGTACAATCGAAACCTACCTGGTTTAGCCCCCTCGTGAGCCTACCCAGATGCCGCATCATGGATCCGAAACCACCAAAGGACAGCGGCGACTGGCTGGCACTGGCGTCACCGATCTGATGCGGGGCGCGCGAGATTGGGACAGAAGAGTGTCGTACGGGTACGGAAGGTGGTGTGCAGGAGGTAGAAGGAGAGCCGGGGAAGGAAGCAGTGATGGAGCGGGTGAAAAAACCCCGCACGTGCAATGTCGTACAATGTCGTACAGTACAGTACAGGGCAGGTAGGTTATATATTGCCGGAATAGCGAGACTTTTTTTAGCAAACCTTGCGTCGCCGAGCAAGCTCCCACAGGTATACACATACACCCGCAAAACACACACGGCGTCGTCTTCACGGACTTCCCATACCCCTCCCACCTGCATTATGCGATCAAACGCAGGGGGCAGGGGCCCGTTGTTGTAGCAGGGGAAGCCTCCGAACAGAACTCTCTTGAAGCGGAGCTGATCCAAAGACACCCCCTGAGACCGGGGGGGCGGGGGGGCGGGGGGTAAAGAGGGGAAGAAGTTGCAAACGCAAGGGGAAAGGGAGGGGAGCCAAAACACACACGTACATGAGCACCAACAACAAGATCGATGTGTGCATAAATAAGAGGAGGAAGTGATGAGAGGAGGAAGTGGTGAGAGGGAGGTTCAGGGGAAGCGCAGGGGGGCACGCAGGGGGAACTCTGGTGGCGGGCGGTGGCGGGACACGCAAGCTGCCGTACACGAAACAAGAGGGACCGGACGGGAGGGTGCCGGGAAAGGAAGGTGTGTATGTGTGTATGTGTGTATGCGTATGTGTGTGTATGGCTACTGTCAGTGCACGACCGCACAATAATGACAATGTCGTGCAGAGTGACAATACACTATAGCGGATCTGCCGTACACAGGAAGCAAGTCCCACATGCACAGCACAATAGACAGCACATCGTACGACAAATCAATGTACGACAAGATGACAAGGCAAGGCAAGGCACATGGCATCACATCACATCAAAACGTGGTGTGTCGGTCAGTGTACCTCTCATCCATCCCTCATACCCCGCACCCACCTGGTACTCGGGGAGCATCTCAAAGTACGTATCCAGCAGCTGCTCGAAGGTGGGTCGGTCGGGGTGGGCGTCACTGTGTGTGGGGGGGTGTTGCGTGTTATTGGGGGGTGAGGTGGAGGGGGGGGGTGTTAGCGGGCGGTTCGGGGTGACTGTCGGCCGCGGGCTTAATACTGAATGTGGTGGAGTGGAACGCGGCAATGCGGGCCATCCGAAGACAAGCTCAGGGTTTACCACCGGAGTTTTCCTGTAATGGGATGTAATGGGCCCAGAAGCCACATCCAATCTGACACAACCAATCTGAGAAAACCATTCTGATACAACACTCAATTTAACATTGCCACCCGGCCCCCCAAAAAAGCATGCATGCATACGTACGTACGTACATACCGCACATGTGCGCACCTATACGCGAACATGTAGGTGGTGCGCGCCGCTCCCCCCTCCGCGGGGAATGCCTCCCAGAACAGTTGCAGGTCGTGACGCGCGTGGCTGAGGGAGTACAGCAGGTCGGCGGACTGGTTGCGATCCGGCGGGAAGCCTGCAAAGCGGGGGAGAGCGGCGGGTGGGCGGGCGGGTTAGGGAACGTGCCAACCGAGAATATCACGAATTTCCGACGAAGATGGACGCCGGAAAAAACTAGTAATTAATAAATAAATAAGTATAAATAAATGATTGAATGATTAATTAAATAATTAACCGCTACTGCTCAGATTATCCAGCTGGACAAGTTTTCATTTTTTCCTCGATCCGTTCGACAATCTTCGAGACTCTTCGACGTTCTTCGACACTCTTCTTCACTGTCCACGACGTTGATAACGCCAACGCCGACACCGACGACTATTCCAGCACTTACCCTCTGCACACGAGCCCACCACCATGCACATCCCGTCGGGCTTCACCCTCCCGCGAATCTGTTTGACGATGTCTGAGTAGTGCCCCATGCAATCTAACAGCAGCCGGCAGGTGAGAGTGCGGGGGGGAGGAGGCGAAGGCGGCGCTCGGGAGGAGGAAGCAGAGGCGGCATCCAGGCCGTTGGGACGGTTGGTGTCGCCAACCGCCAACGGTTGAGCGCTGCCGCCGGGCGAGAGATTCAGAAGGAGACCGTCCTTGATTTGAGCGCGATTGGGAGGTTGGGGGGGTGGCGAGGGGTGGGGTGGGGAGAGTGTTAAGCCGTAGAGGGAGCGGTTTTAGGTTGTGGTTTTGTCAGGACGTTCGGTTTTGGCGGTTTTGGCGGTTTTATTGAAGTGGTTAAGAAATGGTTAAGAAATGATTAAGAAGTGGTTAAGAATCTGTGGGCCTAGAAAGTTCCCCGAGCTTCCTGCAGAGCTGTAGAGGGAAGGAAAGGGGGAAGAAAGACGTCAAGGAAGACGTCCTTCGCGTCCTCTTGTGAAAGCAGCAACCCCTCCACTGTCAGCGCCGCCCACTGCTGCTGCCACCGCAGAGACCACCCTCTGCGCCGCCGCCGCCGCCGCCGCCGCCGCAGCAGCAGCAGCAGCGGGCAGCTGCATTGCATTGCATCAGCCAGCAAGTTCCTTTCCTGCGTATCACGTTCTCTCCTCCATAGCTTCCCCCACCCTGTATGAGTCCTCTTTTCCTAAATTTTTTGTTCAAACCACTGACGGCCGACAGCAGCAATAGCAGTGATAGCAGTTATTCCCCCGTAATGGAGACGGAACCTTACCGAGGCCGCAGCCTTACCGAGTGTATCGTCGCGGCGCGGAATGCCGTATTCTCGTACACTGCACCCCCCGCCGCGGTGAAGCGCCGCCGCAGCGCCTCCAGCAGCCGCCGAGGTTGCACTCCCAGGTTGAGCACGTCCGACGTCCACATATCCTGATCAGGACACGACACGTGATATACATAGATATGATACGTGGCAGAGAAAATAAATAAATAAATAAATAAATAAATAAACACACATTACCCGGCAGATGGGCTATCCCGCTGGGCGAGGGAAGGGGATGGACTTTTGAGAGTTTATTTTTTGTTGGGTCTGGGTAGAGGGCTTTTTTCGATGGGGAGAGCGCTCTCGCCTCGCCGCAAGTTGCGCCAAGGCAGGGAAAGCAGTGTGTGGGGGGGGAGATTTTGATAGGTCGCTGCTGTAGGGATTGGCTTGAGGGGAGTCGCAGGCGAAGGGGGGGGGTGTAGAGCAGACTGAGTGACGCTGCGCGTGAGTACGGGTGCCTCGAGTGGTGTGGTGCTGTTAGCTCCAGACATCGCTAGCCCCGTCGATGAGCTGAACAACTAGCTGCTAGCCTAGTCCGTGCCCTCGGCCGCCGTCGCGGGGACTCCAGAGGCAGTTAGCGTTAGGGTTTCTTGAACCCCGCCCGCCCCCCCTCCCCCGCAACGGACAATTGGGTGAGAGGAGACCGAGCTTCATATTAGGGCCTCGCACCCTAGTAGTGAGGGGTAGGATGTGTACGGGGTTTCCGGGTTTCCCGGGGAACCCTCACCTCGAGAGCCGGATCAGGCCGGGGAGGGAGAGGAGTCTTGTTGTTGTGTGTTTCAGAGGCTCAGTGAACGCGAAGTCGTGTGAAGGAGCTTTGACTCGTGAGAGCGTGCGACGGCCCCCACCCCCACCCCCGGGGGGGAGGAGAGCGGAGCTAGCGGACCTGCGGCTCTCAGCTGCTTAGGAGGGGACTGAGGCCCCCCTCTAGCGCCCCTCTCTCGTCCGGGGGAGAGAGCTTATGCGGTCTTTCCGTTCGGGCTGGGCAGCAGCCCCTGTGGCCAGTGTCAGGCCCGGTCAGATACTTGTAACGTTCACACATACACACACACACACACACAGACACACGTGTGTGTGTGTGTCTCTGGACACACGTGAGTGACACATACATACATACATACATACATACATACATCCCGGGCCCCTGCAGTGGTGATCAGGCTCGTGCGGGATCCCTTTTCTTTATAAGGCTACTTCTCCCCTGGACCAGCCCAGGAAGGGACAGGTGGTGGAGGTCAGTTGTTTTAAGGTGGTTGCAAGACGTCTTGTGGTGTCGAGCTCTCTTAGCCGTTCTCTCTTGGAGGTTTTATTTTTGTTGGCCTGTTAGGTATATCAGGAGCCCTCCCCTGCCGGGACTGCCATAACCGAATTTTTGTTTGTTTGTTTTCCCTTCGAATCCCGTTTTCGTTGGTGGTGTTTTGGGGGGTTGTTTCAGAGAGCCTTTGACTTTGCCCTAGCTGAGACTTGTGGACTCGCTCTAGCGGGACCTGAGAGCCCTTCGTGGTGTATTCAATGCAGCGCCACCCCCGGATGGAGGGGCTGCGGAGTGGCTGCGTAGAGTGTTGGCAGTCTGAGTCGGGGTCGGGAGCACACAAGACTAACCGACTTGTGCTGTGTGCTCCCGACCCTTGCGCTGTGTTTCGGCTTCGGCCCCCGGCTCTCGCGGCCCACAGTGTAATCTAAGTCATACATACATACATACATACATACATACATACATACATACATACATACATACATACATACATACATACATACATACATACATACATACATACATACATACATACATACATACTCGAGGATCAAACGCAGGGGCCCATCGCGGGACCCCGATGTTTCGGCTTCGGCCCCCGGCTCTCGCGGCCCACAGTGTAATCTAAGTCATACATACATACATACATACATACATACATACATACATACATACATACTCGAGGATCAAACGCAGGGGCCCATCGCGGGACCGGGGACGGCAACAGCAGCAGCAACAGCAGCAGCAACAGCAGCAGCAGCAGCAGCAGCAACAGCAGCAGCAACCCCCCTGGAATACGCCCGCGCTCGGGCAGTAGTGGACTTCTGGGCGCGCTTGCGCTCTTTCACCGCGCTTAATGTCCCAAGGCGGGGCTGGGACGGAGTGGGACCCCACCACCCGATCCTGTCAATCGTCGGGGGAGCACTGCGCTGCGCGGAGGCGGTGGACATCACGACCTAATGGTCAAGCGGACGCGGCGGGAGCTGGAGTTTAGGGGATAAGGGGATAGGGTGTCGAGGCGCGGAGGGGGGTTTTGAGGTGGTGGGGGTGGTAGGGAGGTCGAGAGGGAGGTTGAGGGGATAGGTTGCGAGGGGGGCGGGATCAGGGATGGGGCTTGGGGGGGTGCCGCGCAAGGGGACATGGGGGAGGGAGGGTTTATTTGCCTGGGGGAGCCGTACCGGCGGAGGGGGGGGAGACCGGGGAAAGGGCGGGGAGAGCCGGGGGGGGAGGG